ATAAATATTAAGGCAATATGTTAACTTTTTCTGAGATGCAATAGCCAAGCCAAAGAATTTAAAGGATGAAAAAAAAAAAACAAAAAAAAAAAACAGATGATTAAACAAATTGTGAAGTAATTAGAGGTAGTCTTTGAAAATGCCTCATTAGGCATTTGACTCATTAGGACAGATCTTTTTATTTTAGGGCCAGGATATAATTGTTTAAGCAGCTATGTCTTTAGCTCCTTTCTCCTTGCCACAAGTTGTCCCATGTACTGCTTTTCCACCTAGCTCCCAAGTGACTTTGAAGAGACTCCTTAGGCCTCACCTCCCCTAGAGAGTGCCCTTCGTGCTATCTCTCTCGCTTTCCTCATTCCTATTGCCTGTGTTTATTGCTTTAATAAATTCCCTTAAGTTAGCACTTCCTAGGGTGGATTAGAATCATCCAAATCCACATGGATTGCTACTAAGTGGAAATTGTATACTCAGCCTTTTAAAATCCTTATTACAATGTGATGAGGATTTAGAGTTGCTTTAACCTAAGGAATTGAAATTCAAACTGGTGGTGGCATTTCATAATTACAGTGGGCCCACAGGATGAAAGAGAGCTTGGTATCTCAATCCCTTATATAAAACAGGTGGGTCTTGTTAGAAAAATCCTTCTTAGGAGAAATACCTAATGTAGATGACGGGGTGATGGATGCAGCAAACCACCATGGCATGTGTATACCTATGTAACAAGCCTGCATGTTCTGCACATGTACCCCAGAACTTAAAGTATAATAAATAAATTTTTTAAAAAAGAAAAATCCTTCAATAATTGTTAAGGTTAAAATTTTAAAAAGGTACAAAGAAATTTGCTTTGATGCAAATATTGTCTAGTCAGTTACATAACTTGAGAGATAATGACAGTGTACAGTAGCAGCTATCCAGGGCATAACATCTGTATTGTGCTGTTGAATATATTGCTCAACCATTCTGGAAAAACGCATGCTTGTGTATGAATGGCAATGTACCTTGTGTGTATGGCATTCCAAGCCAACATGTTGTTTGCTACAAATAAACTTCTTGATTGTCAAAAATATTTGCATGGCCTAAACTAACTGTTTCATTTGTTTCCCTTCTGCCTTATGAACTGGTAGTTTGGCCTTTTGACTTTTCCCTGAGAGTTAACAAAAGTTAGGCAGTTGGGGGATGAACTTAAGTAAATTCCATATTACTCTATGTTGCTGCTCTACTGACAATTCCAGAAAATGGCTTGGTAGGAAGCAGGGAATGAGTTTCAAACTCTTTCTTTAAATTTCAATTATCCGTGCCACTCCTGTGGTCCACTGCTCTGTGTAATTAAGTGTAAGCCATATGTTCCATAGTGACACAGCCTGTTGTTTCTGATCTGTAGCTTTCACTGAACCTATGGTAAAATTGAAATAGAAATCAGATCTTTTTTTACCTTCTTCCACTCAATTCTAGTTAGATATTTTTGAACTTCTGTAAAATGCCTGCAATCTTATGACCAATAATATGTGAAATTACTACTCCCATGTAGAAGATGATCCATTCTTCATTGAACCATTCCCTTGGGATCCTATCACATGCAGTTGGCCATATAATATGTATAATTTTTTGTTTTTGTTTTGTTTGTATATTTTGTAGGGAATTTGGAATTCGAAAAATATAGTACATTTAGGGTATATGTGTTAGTCCATTTTCATACTGCTATAAAGAAATACCTGAGATGGGGTAATTTATAAAGAAAAATAGGTTTAATGAGCTCACAGTTCCTCATGGCTGGGGAGGCCTCACAATCACGGCAGAAGGTGAAGGAGAAGCAAGGGTACGTCTTACATGGCGGCAGGCAGGAGAGCATGTGCAAGGGAACTGCTCTTTATGAAACCATCAGATCTCATGAGACTTATTCACTATCGTGAGAACAGCGCAGGAAAAACCTGCCTCCATGATTCAATTACCTCCCACTGGGTCCCTCCCACAACGTGTTGGGATTATGCTGCATCTTTGAAGTAAGGCTTGAGCACATTCTTAATTTCTTTCTAAACTTATAGAGTAGAGGTGTAAATAGTATTTGGATAAATCACTGATTAATACTGAAGAACCAGGCATTTTCTTACCACAGTCCCCATTTAAAGTAGGTAAATTCAAGATGAGGTTTGGACGGGGACACAGCCAAACCATATCAGTATATTAAAGAAAATATTTGTTAGTGCTAAGTGAATCTATTTTCACTTACTTGATTATTTGATGATTTTATAAATAGTCAACTGTTTCCTCATCTTTTCAGTTGTATTTTGTTGTTCCAAAGCCCAAACCTGTGTGTCTTGTGTTGAACAACTTGAGACATACAGTTGTGAGATGTAAATGGGTGTGGTGGTTCAACTTACTTCTTTACATAGTACTACAACTAAGCCATCTAAGTAATCTACTCCTAAATTCCTCCAAGAAGGGACATATCATCATTTGATTTAAATGTAACATCCTTTTTAGAGAAGTTTTCTTTGTCTCCTTCTTCCCCAGTCACTTCCTCCCATCCATTGTGCTTTCAGCAGTTCATTCGTTCATTAATTCTATCAACAAGTACTGAATAACTTTTAATCAATGCCTTCCTCCCTCCAAGCTGAAAACTTGATAGAGGGTAACATGATCTGTATTTGTTTACCACTGCACCTTCCATGAATATACATTGTAAGTATTGAATGGAGTTTTACTAAATGAACAAATACTTTGATATAATATTTTTGGTAACCACCAATATCAATTTCTGAATTGATTCTAAAATTCTTCTGTTGGAAATCAGCTTATCTTTAGTATGACTGCTAAAGCCTTTTAAAGTGCGTGGTAATACTTTATTTTGTTTTGTTTCATTAATCTATGTGGTTTTCTTTATCTTTGGAATCTTTTTAAAGGAAGATAAATTACATTTATGGAAGGAGCTTTTTTTTTTAATACTTTATTTTTAAAAGGTAAAATACAGTGTGTAGTTATAATTTGGCAACTCTTGATTTCACCTTAGGAAAAACAGTATCACCTTCTAATCATTTCTTTTTAAATCAAATCACTTGCTTTTATTTCTTTATGTAGATTTGCTATTAAAAGATTGTAATCACTGCTGCATCTTTCCTGTAAGACTTGAGCACATTCTTAATTTCTTTCTAAACTTGTGGAGTAGAATTATAAATAGTATTTGGGTAATACACTGACTAATATCAAAGAACCAGGCATTTTCTTACCCTAGTCCTCACCCAAAGCTGGCAAATACAAGTTAGAGCTCATCTTCTCAAAACTCTGATCTCAGAATTTTCTGAGAAATCTGAATCTAAAAAAATTCTTTGCTTTTGACATATTTTCCCTGATTTCTACCATAAGTCTCCTGCTCTTACTTTTTTTTTTTTTAACATTTCAAATAGAAGATGGTAAAGTCATACAGTACAGTCTCAGCATTGGAGGGTCTACTGGAGGTCAGCTAGTGCAAACGCTTTCTGGATAATGGAATCCATTTGGAAACATCCCTTGAAAGTCCTCATCTAGACTATTCTTGGAAACCCACAGCGATCCACCTCATCATTTCCTATGATGGCAGTTTCTATCTTTGTTGTTAGCTCTGAGTGTTACAAACTGCTTCTTTACATTGAGCTGTAACTAACTAAAACGTTTCCACACCCTGCTTCTATTTTAGCCTCAAAAAGAACAAGTTGAACCGTCTTACGCAGAACAACCCATCTAAGGGCAGTGCTCCTGCTTCCTCCGTGTTTTCCTTTCTCTAGGCTAACCCTTCTTTGTTCCTCACTTGCTCACTATATGACCTGATTTCATGTCTCCTTATGCTTCTAGTTACTGTAACTTGAATAGACTGATTTTTCTTATATTTTCAGATCCAGCAATGAGTGTGATACATCAGGTGTGCTCTGATGACTTGAGGTTATAGTGGAAACATCATCTCTCTTAATTCAGATATTATAACCTCATTGGCAAATCTGGCAATGAAAATTGAAATGCCTGACCAGGGACAATGGCTGGTCAGATGCCACTGTTTTCATCTTTTACTTTTAGGTGTCCTTCAATTTGTTAAGTTAGTACCTAGACAATGTCCTGAAACTTGTTAAAGCAAACTTCTTTTCAGAGCCAGAATATGGAATCATACTTAATAGAGAATGATCTTGTACAAGTTGGTTAGTTTCACTAACGGTTTCTTAAACTTAACAAGATTATTGTAAGAACTAAATTAGTTCTAAAGTGCTTCTGTGTATGTAAATGCTTAAAATATGTAGTAGGTGCTGAATGCATATTAGTAATAATAATCTTTATTATAATTTTTACTATTACATGAGAAAGGTTTATTTTAATACTGAGCAAATGGGAAGAGTTCATGGTGTCGCTATGTTTTTAAAGTGTCATTTAATATATTATGTATTTATATATAAAAACACATATATAACATATATATATATATACATATATATATATTTCAGTCACACGTTTGTTCAAATATACCGTATGAGCAAGTCATTCTTATTTATCCTTGCCCATGAATAAGTCTATTTGGACTACATAGTTTTAAAAACTCCCTTTTAATTTACTATTAAAAGAATATTACTAGCAGAAGTAGTCTTTGATGCCAAACCATATTTTAAGAATAACTAATTAGAATTCTGTTCTTGTTATAACACCTGTTACACACACACAACCCTACCTGGTGTGTCAGAGTCAGTTTGTTTGGGCTCACGAGCACCTACTGTTCAATTTTGGTAAGCCACTTGATGTCAGACAAGTGGCCTGAAATTTGTGATGGTGGCAGCATTTACACCATGAACACTGGCCACTGCTACAAATCAAAGTCTTTTTCTTTTTCTCTTGGAGAGACACTTGTGAAACACTTACCAGCTCACCTTGCTTGAGAGTATTTATTCAAATATAATGAAAGATGGTTAGCTTTGAAGATTGTTTTGTATAAAAGTTTACATGGGAAAAAAGTAAACTAATTTGTTGTTTTCCCCCTCTGTTTTTAGGGATACGAAAAGACCGAAGAGGAGGGAGAATGTTGAAACACAAGCGCCAGAGAGATGATGGGGAGGGCAGGAATGAAGTGGGGTCCACTGGAGACATGAGAGCTGCCAACCTTTGGCCAAGCCCACTCATGATCAAACACTCTAAGAAGAACAGCCCAGCCTTGTCCCTGACGGCCGACCAGATGGTCAGTGCCTTGTTGGATGCTGAGCCCCCCATAATCTATTCCGAGTACGATCCTACCAGACCCTTCAGTGAGGCTTCGATGATGGGCTTACTGACCAACCTGGCAGACAGGGAGCTGGTTCACATGATCAACTGGGCAAAGAGGGTACCAGGTAAGAATGTGAAACTCAGCTTTTAATAGTTAATAGCTTTTCAAGAAGTGGTTGTGATGTCCTGGGAGAAATAGTAGGAGAAAAAGAAGCAAGCAATAACTTGTTATGTAATTGGTTTCAAGGTTACAGGAGATGTGTACATTTTCAGTATCAGCACACTGTAATTTTCCTGGATGTTAGAAAAGAATATTTTTAAATCAAAATCTAGGAGACTAAAATTTTTAAGTTGATATAATTTATTTTTAACCATCTATTCACCAAAAAGATTTAGGGTGGACACTACATGATAAAACTGTTTAATAGTATGTGTTCACAGTAGCAGAAACTTTTAACACTAAATGATCTACAAAAGTTTTTAATATTAATAACCTTTGTTCAAAATGTCTCAATTATTAATAAAACAATTTTATCTTGAAAAGATTTTTAAGATTGGGTGTGACACCTCATGCCTGTACTCCTAGCACTTTTGGGGGCTGAGGTGGGAGGATTGCTTGAGCCCAGGAGTTTGAGACCAGCCAGGGCAACATTTTGAAACCCTGTCTCTACAAAAAAGATTTTAAAAATTAGCTGGGTGCAGTAGCACACACCTGTGGTCCCAGCTACTGGGGAGGCTGAGGGTAGAGGATGGTTTGATCCCAGGAGATAAAGGCTTCAGTGAATCATGTTTGTATGGAGTGCCGCTGCACCCTAGCTCTGTCACCAAGACCATGTTTAAAAAAAAAAGTTAAGAAAGATCTTTATGGATTAAAGAGATAATAATAAGGTTATCTACTGAATGCCAATTATTTATCCAACCTGGTTTATACTTAATATTTTAGGAAAAAGAGAAAGACAGTGGAAAAATAAATTAAGGTTTCATCCCTGAAAGAAATTTTAGAGACACAGTGGCTGAAGTGACACCTTGTTCCTTTAGTTGATTCTCTCAGAAGTGGTATTGTGGTAAAATTGGACTGTTATTCTTGTTGCTCTGGGAGAAGAACTCAAGTGTGTGTGGAAACAAGACTAGGAAATGACTTACTTCCTGCCCCAGTGTATCCATTCAGGAACTAATGTAGATGAACCGAGGCAAGAGGAAGCTAAATTTTTTTTCTGGGCTTATAGATAAAACGAGTGATAGATTTAGTTAGACATTTTCTCATTTGGATTCTTTTAATAGATACAATTAATTGTTTCCTATGAAGCATGAAATGTTTTGTATGAAACTAAAAGAATGTGGAGTTTGGTACTTGCATTTCAAGGGTCACTGCTGTGTTACAGCCCAAGTGAACTTATGTTTGGCTTTAAAGAATCTTACATGTATTTGTATCTATCAGCATATAAACATATGGGCTGTAGAAAAAGGAGCCAGCAGTACCAGAACCCAATCTTGTTAGAGGCCACCATTTTGGTGGTTTGGGTGGTTATTCGGTTACAAGGAAGCATGGAGAATAACAGGCAAATTTAGGTTTTCAGTGTCAATTGAGCTGGCAAACAAAAATTCGTGGTCATCTTCAGAATGAAAAGTTTTCTTGAGTACTTACGTATTTTAGCATTTTTATATGAAGCAGATACATTATAAGTTAATTGTTGGAATCTAACTGTAATGTAGCTATGTTTTTTCTTTATATTTGTTATAAACAAAGAAAGAAACTAATGGTCATATATTTGAGAACCAACCCTTGGTTGCTGTTAATTTTTATTTTCCTGCAAACATATATTTTCCCTCATAAAATCTTGGTAACATTAGCTCTGGAGTACTGCTGAACTCAAGTATAGACATCTTCCTATGTATCAGTAGATTCCCATCATGACATTTTTCTAACAATAAAATATTAAAGAACATTTGAAACAACTGGAATTAAGCTCAAATATATTGCCAGTGGTTGAAGAATTCACATCAATAATTTTCTGAATTTGGGAATAAAGTGGAGAAGCCAAGGAAAGGAAAATATGATATATAGGCTAATAATTGTTAAAATACAGTTATTAAAGCCAGAGCTAGGCAAACTTATGCTAATAAGATCTATAACAAAACCACTCTATAACTGCATCATGTTAGTTTAAAAGACCTGAATGATTCCAAAATCCTTAGACTAATAAACTATGTCTTCTTACTTCATCATTTAAAAAAAAGAATTATAAAGGCAGAAAATGAAACTCTGTGTGTGTGTGTGTGTGTGTGTGTGTGTGTGTGTGTTCCATGGGAATGCAGTTGTTGTAAATCAAAGGCCTACTTGTCTGACCAAGCAAAATAAAATTAGTCATTGATTTTAAAAAAGATGAAAAATAAGGGAAGAAAAAAGTCTTCTGCAAAAGCTCTATAGATAGTTGTCAAGCTTTTCAGAAAAATGGACAAAGAGACATTTTGAAAAACATATCTTATATATGTCCAAATACCATCTGTTATTTAAAAACCATAACCCACACTGAAAATCTGATATAGGCAATGTAACATTTATGAGATAATAGTTTGAGAATGACAATGATAAGAGCAATTTTTAAAAAGAGGAAATAGGGCAGGCACAGTGACTCACACCTGTAATCCCAGCACTTTGGGAGGCTGAGGCGGGCGGATCGCCTGAGATCAGGAGTTCAAGACCAGCCTGGTCAACATGGCAAAACCTCATTTCTACAAAAAAAAAAAAAAAAAAAAATTAGCCGGCTTTGGGGGTGCACACCTGTAGTTCCAGCTACTTGGGATTCTGAGGTGGGAGAATCACTTGAACCAGAGAGGCAGAGACTGCAGTGAGCCAAGATCCCACCACTGCACTCCAGCCTGGGTGACAATGAGATTCTGTCTCTAAACAAATAAATAAGGAAATAGTAAATATCTTTAGTAAGAAGAATAGCAAAAAGTTCAGTTCTAGAAATACCTGGAATTAGCTGTATAATACAAAAACTCTCATGGAACATTTGAATAATCCTCAGAATACCTATCAATGTAACAGAAATTGTTAATTGACTTCATTTTGAATGAATTTTTAACAAAAATAATCAGTACTTTGGACTATCTTAGTAGTTCTAGAAGTGTTTTTCTTCTTTTTTTATAACTAAAAGAATATTGTCAGAATTTTTAAATGTTGATGATTATAAGTTGAATTTTCCTTTTTATAAATATCTGGGGCTTATTTTTTGACTTGATATGTTTCTCTACCCAGAATTAAGATGAGAAGAGCTTTAGGATAAAGTGCATCCTACAAGTGTGACAGTCAAGTTCCAATCCACAAAGTACTTCTAGTAGACCTGGATAAAGATGACCTTAAGATATGATTTTTTTTTCTCTTGCAGTTTAAAAACACCAGTAGCCACAAGAATGATAAAACCTACTAAGCTAGCTCTGACAAAAGATGCTTTTTTATAACACATACTATGTATCTGCTTTTTGATATTTACCTATAGAGAAGGTTGTTCTCCTTATTGTTTGCTCTGTAATTTATCTTTAAGAGACATTTTATAGCCTTATTCCTGGATAGAGATTTAGTTTAAAAAAATTAGATGATTGAATCCTAATTTACTATTATTCTACACATGGTGAAACTAGTCAATAAATGTAATATCATTGAGCTGAAGGTTAAAAAGAAAAAATATGACTGTAAAAGTTGTATTTTTCATTTCAGCATCACACTCAATTGCATCATTGAGTGGTTCATTCTTAGTTTCAGTGTTAATGACATACATCTGAGTTTTTTCCCAGAAGATTGAATTGTGTCACCAAAGTGTCATTTTGATTTATTAAAAATTAAGCCTTTTCCAAACTTCATCATAATTTTTACATGTCTCAAAAGCAATTTTATTCTTCAAGTTTGTGCTACAGTTCTATATAGTTTATGAAGATTTGGATAGATGTCTAGCCCTGAGTTTTTATTGCCTGTTAAATACTTATCACTAAAAGTGTGACAGCCTCATGAACTGCCACTGGGCACAGATCTGGGAAAGCACGCTGAGTGCTGGCCCAGGAAGAGGAAGATAGGAAAAGGGGCAGTTCAGGGGCAGCTTGGCTTCCTGCGAAACATGCCACTTTAACCACTTCCTCATTCTTTTAGTGGCAAACAAGATGACCTTCTCCTTCCCCTTTCCTGCCAAGTCTCTCTCTGCTCAACACTCAAGAAGGCCCCTCTTCCTCCCCAGTACTCACTCCCTGTCATTTGCTTCAGGTTGCCTCCTTGCTCTGTTTTGGCCCCAGGAGTAGACGATTTACTCTTTCTCGACCTGCCTCCCAACAGCCCCAAGTTCAGGTTTCTCGGAAGTTTCTGTGTTGTCTCAAGGATGCATGGTTGTCTGAGTGATTCCAGGGCTCAAGGCCTCTTCTGTGTCTGTATTCTCCAGGAATCCAAGAATTTGCTTCTCTGCCTCTCATCCTCATCCACATCCTCATCATTAAAATTAGCAGTGATTTGAGCTAAGGAAATGCTGGAATGAATGAATGAATAAATGAAAGGCAAATATTGAAAGTTTTAATTTTAAGAAGCCTCTGAGCCCCACCCATTTCAGCTCAAATTTCCCATAAACTAGAACTGCTTTCTAAGGCTGTGGCATTTTTCTTTTTTCCTCTCTTCAAAATCTACCTGCTGTTCTGCTATCTCTCTTACAGCCACCTTAGTGAGACTCCACTTCCATTTCCAACCTCTCTTTTGTAAGGGACAGAGAAATAGCTAGAGGAATACAGAGCCATGCGCTCTGAGGACTTCAGCAGGCTTCAACTGTCTATCTGCAAAGTGAGTTTCACTTAGCAAGTGAAATTCGAAACTTAAAATGGGTAAGGATGACAGTTCCGGGAGAGGGCATAATACCTCAGTCTGGGAATTGGCAGCCTCTTCAAGGAACACACTCAATTCTGGGAAGTTCCTGTAGATTCCAGAGACTTAGCAGGACTTCCCAGTACTCTGCTTCTCAACCTGTCATTGGACCAGTAAACCCTGGTCTCAGGCTGTTGTGGTGTCCAGCCTGCTTTGGCAAGGCAGTGAAAGATAACACGACACGGAAGTATGGGTGACATCCTGGAGAGATGACTGATGCCTATG